CAAGGGTAGGGGTAAGGGTAGGGGTAAGGGTAGGGGTAGGGGTATGGGTAAGGGTAGGGGTAAGGGTAGGGGTAAGGGTAGGGGTAAGGGTGGGGGTAAGGGCAAGGGTTGGGGTAGGGTAGGGGTAGGGGTAGGGTTAGGGTAGGGTAGGGTAGGGGTAGGGTATGGGGTAGGGTAGAGGGTAGGGGTAAGGGGTAGGGTAGGGTTAAGGGTAGGGTAGGGTAGGGGTAAGGGCAAGGGTAGGGGTAGGGTAGGGGTAGGTCTCTTCTTTATTGTATTTGTGTCACGACGCGGTGGAATCAGGCGCTTGTCAAATGTGTGTGCATGTGGAGTTATTGGTGTCATCTTGAAGCCTGTTTATTTGTCTTGCCTAAGATCAAAAAAACATCCCTGCTATCTTGAATAGAAGTCCAGATGTTTGAGATTGAAGGAGGAGGGGGTCGCCTGGTTTCAGAGGTAAAATTAACGAGAAAACGGCCTCCAAAATCGGATGACTTCTATAGATCTAGTTTGAGAGTCATTGAAAACTGAGAATGTCAACATTTTCAGCGATTTGTCAACGTGTTTTTAAATATAATATAATACACATAGAAACATGTACATTAAAGCTGTTCAGCTAAAAAAGAAAAATTTGATAAATATTGTCGAACTGGAGGAAAAATGCGTGCTTCTTCGATTTCATTATTTTGACGAGCGCCTAATTTCACAACGATGCCTCCTGTGGGAGTCCTTCCCAACTTTGTCCGGCAGCACAATAGTCATCAGATCTTCTTTTAGGAGCCTGTTGGAGCGACGAAGTGTTTGTTTTGTTTTAGTAGAGGTTTTACGGCGCTCGCAAATGCATAAGGTCATATGAGCGCCGAGGGATGAATGTCAACAGAGAAGTCAAAACGCGGAATCAGGCTTACTCTGCTCACCTCTCTAACCTCAACAGCACAAAATCTGCTTCGACTATCAAGGCACCCCAGAAATAGCAGTTCACAAGAAAGTGACAAACATACAAAAGAAATAGATGAAAACTGACGATAGTAACGGTGAGGAAAGAAAAAGCAGCAGTTCCCCCTATGTTGTTCCGGCACAGTATGAGCATACGACATTGATAAATCAGCTCATTAACAAACTGCACATAAGAACGTGTTAATATCAGTCTTCCGTACCCCAATATCCCAACACCATTGGGAATGGTCTAAAGACAATTCAGTCAGTAGCACTGTCCCGGGGGGAGGGGGGGGTTCATGTTGTTTAATGACTTGTTGCTGACTTTTTCAACACTTCACGTTATTCTCGATCGGTCGTGTGTTGGTACAGCTGACTTACGTCAATGACTGTTGAGTAGGTGGGGACAATCAACAATATTATTGTCTATGGTAAACTGTTGGAGGGAGCGACTGGGCGACACAAAGAGAGACTTTGAGGGTCGGGATCTGGTCGGTGAAAGGACTACAGTCACGGTCAATCATTGCCGGGGATCTACGCCGGCAT